CAGAGAGCAGACCTCTGGGTGGGCATTGACTGCAATAAAATTCTTCCATTCCTTGTAGGCAAAACATTAACAATTCTACTCAGACCTATCTTCAAATGCCAAAACCTATAGTATTTTAGCTTTAGTACAAGATAATCTAAACAGATTAGAGGTGGTAGAATAGTTGGAGAGAGATAATTGAGACTCCAAGAGAATTTTCCAACTCTTATGAAGCATCTACTAAGTGTCCGTTTTCTGTCTGGAGACAGAAGAAGAGCAGAGACACGGTTCTTCCCCTCTGAGTCCAGCAGGTACGGCCCGTGGGGGAAACCAGCGTGGGTGTGGGCTCAGCTGGCCACTCAACCTCTCTGTGCTTTGGTCTCTACACCTCAACATACTCTTGGTACACAGAGCGAGCAAAGCAAGTCCTCAGGAAATGTTAGCACTGTTACTACCAACCACACTGGTAGGAGGATCTCCATGCTAGTGAGCCATGGTTCTTGAGGAGAGAGGATGGTTGGGTGGGTTGTAAAGACCGAGTAGAAGTTTGTGAAGTAAACAGCAGTGTGGGAGGGGAAGAAGACGCAGATAGGAAGCAGCAATGGCAGAAGCAGAGATGTGGGTGGGCTGGAGAGATCGCACCCAGGTTTATGTTGGTGACGAACTCAGGTGCCAAACCTCGGAGGGCCACAGGCCTTTGGGAGCACGCACGGACGGAGTGGCCTGGGAGGACCCAACGCACCGGGCTCCCGGCATCCCACAGACGCCTGCACAGCCCTCTCTTCTGCGGCCTTTTCTATTTTCAGGAGGATATTTTCCCATTTTCTCTTATCTTCTAACTTCGCTGCTTTCTTCTTATAGGGTCCAGGGGTTAAAATTTGGACTCGGACCTTTGTTCTTCCCGGCAAGACTCCACTGTAGATCTGCCACACAGAGCATCAATAGCCTTCAGGACAGTGCCTCCCACGGAACAGAAAACACTGACATCTCTTCCTTCAGAGCCCATATTTACTGCTTGTCCATTGACCAGTTGCTCTCCTAGCTGAGATTCATTACTAAACAAAGCAGCCCCAAATCCCTGTCTTCCCACTGCTAATATTTTGTTAGGAAGAATGAAGAAGCGGTGGTGATGGGGAGAGATTTGTTAATGAACACAACATATGATTAAGTTACGTGGAATTCAGCATGAGAGAAATTCTGTTTATATTTAACAGAAACTGTTTAAAAAATAATATTTCAAAGGCATGATAAAGAAGGGAGATAAGAGAAATATGGCTGAAACTGAAGATTAAAGCAATGTATCCTGATGATACCTATTTATATTTGCTGGCTTAAAACATACGTCTTAAGATCAAATGATTCTGAATTTCTAATCAGCATTCTGCCAGTGTGTCCCAGATATATGGGAAATCTGGGGGCTCCATGAGCTCCCTGTTTGAATACCTGGCAACTAGGTGACAGATGTTAAAGAACGCAAGGAGTCAGCGAGGAGAGAACGCAGCCCCAATCGCAGAGGCAGGCTGCGGCGTCGCAACGTCTCCACTTTTTGTATGTGTGGTCTTTAAAACCTCGCTCACCCTGCGTTACTCTGGATCCCACGGAAGTGGGAAAGCATCGGCCACCCTGACCTATGTTTTATCGCCAGCCTTCATGTTAAGTATCTGTTTCCCCACTCAGCCTTCCCAATATTTCTGACAGATGTTTTTCTTCACTCAAAGATAGGTTAAAATTTCATTAATTAACTAACTAATGAAGCACCTGAAATGTGACAGGTACTGTGAGAGATGAATGATGGGAATGTATTGGTGACTAAAACAACAGCCAAAGACCTCATACGCTTATATTCCAGAGAAAATTCACATAAAGTCAGGGGAGGGTGATTTAATTCCACATCAAATGATCTTTGTCCCCCTTTCTTTCCTTCCTTCCTTCTCCCCCAACCCTTTCTTTCTCTCTGTGTATTGGGTATTGAACTCAGGGTGCTCACACTGAGCTAAATCTCAGCCCTTTTAAATATTTTATTTGGCACAGGATTTCATTGAGTTACCAAATTGCCCAGGCTGGGACTTGAACTTGTGGCTCTCCTGCCTCAGCCTTCCAGAGTGCTGATCACTGATGTGCATCGCCATGCCAATACCCAGCTACGAATTTCTTTCTTTGTTGCCTAACATTCCGCCAGCTGATGGCACCGCAGTGTGGACTGTGACTTCTTCCCACCCGCCATCCCTGCCCCCTGTCCACTTTCTAGGATCCCTGTCCCGCTCTTGTCCCAGATGCTCCCTTGCTGGCTGCCTTCCCTAGGGTTGGTGAAGGAGTCACTTGCTAGAGATAGGAGTTTGGGGAGGTGAGAGCCGGTGCACTCTCTTCCCTCCCTTGGTGCTTCAGGGTGTGACAGAACCATGTCCATCCGTGGTGCCCGCTGCCCGGTGACCCCTCTGCTGGGCTGCATTTCTCACTCGTCTCTGAGGATGCTGTATCCTTTCTTTGCTCCTTTTAGCTTTACTTCTGTTGCTGAGTTGTGGGGCCCCAACAGCTCTTTGGGTGGTTTTAACTGTGTTTTTATAAATGGGCATTTCGTTAAGGCTTCTCAGTCAAGAGATCTGGTGGAGTTCTGCTGCCTCCCCTGACAGATATTCCAAAGCTGGGCCAGGATGTGACCCAAAGCGAAGAGGAATGAATATTCTCTGAGTGTTAGACTCTCCAGTGAATGACATGTCTGTGTGCAGGTCATGTAGAAAAGTGAATTAGGAATAAGAACGTATGTGCATGATTGTGACACGGCATCAGCCGTCTGCATGAGACCAGCTCCACAGCAGACCAGTGGAAGATAGCATCAGAAGATTTAGTGGGAATCGTGTGCTGGTCTAAGGAACTCTGAAAAAAAGTATCCTGAGAAAGCGTAAGCTGGGAAATGGGCTTAAGGAACTGGTACAGTTGACAGCCCAGCGAACCCGTCTTCCACCTAAGTGTTGTAGGTTCAGAGATAGAAAAAGTGATAGCCAATCAAAACTAAAACTGAAGACAAATTTGCTACTACTGAAGATAAGTAGCAAACTTAGAGAATTAAGACGAGGGAAGGGAGGGGAAGGTTGGTGCCATTTTGATGGGTTGGTGCTTGGGACCTAATGGCCGAAGAATGAAAAGCCACCAAACACCCACGGAGGTGGTGATTGGAGGTGTGATAACAGGATCGCCTGACTGAGAAAGTGGCCAGAAGAGGAGCCAGTGTGATCCCACCATCTCCCGGGCTCACACGCCAGGTGTCGAGTGCACCTGTCATGGGTTGAAGTGGAAGGAACTGGATTGAGTCAAGGAAAGTGAGCATGGGAGTGGCAGCCAAAGGGTTGTGCAGACTGAGCTGCTGGGACAAACAGAACAGGAAGCTGAGTGCCTCAGAGCGGTCTTTCCTTGCTGACGTTAATGGAATACTTAGGGTCAAGGCACATGGTAAAGGAGGCCAAAAGAAGACTCTTGTTGGCCTCAGGAAGTCTCAAGAAGTCCTGTGATTAAATTTTTAGAAAGGAACGGACCAAAGAAAACAGGCAGATTCATGTGGATGCATGCAGGATTCTGTTCTTTGAAGATTTCCAGAACATACTGTATTTACCAAACCTCGCCGTCAGAGTAAGACGGCGTACAATGCACAACCGGCTCCGTCCCAAGCTACCGGGGGTAGCAATGACACCTTCCCGGCAGAGAGCCCTGGACATCAGACGCGATACAGACATTGGAGTGCTCCATGGACGTGTTTTATTTCCCCTTTGCTTCAGTCTCCTGGGCTCCCCCTGCCTCTAAATAACAACGTAATGCAGTGAACACCGTGCTCATCAGCCCAGTGCTGCCGACGCCCAGGCGCAGGAGCGTTACCGGGAGGTTAAAGGTGCGTGAAGCACAGGTCTTGCTCTGTGGACGGGGCCCAGGCGCCTGCATCTCCACCCTCTCTCCAGGCCGAGACCCGCTGTTCTAGACCGCTGCTCACCGGAGAGAACACGAGGCGCTCCGGCCTCCGGATGAGGTCGGCAGGACCGCGGCCTCTCTGCAAGTCACTGGTGATGGGCAGCACTTAAACCCCTCATCTGAGGAGACTGTGACTGTGTTGCTAAGATCTTGATTATGAGCTTTGTGAGTTGACAAAGAAGTAATAGGAGGGGGAATACAGTATTTCATCACGTCCTATCTCATGGGAATAGCATGGTAGAAAGTAACTGTCCTAGACACTCACTCCAAGTTCACGTTTTCATACCTCGACTCTGGCAACAGACACTCATTCCTCAATTCAGGTATTCACTCAGCCATCACTCAGCTGAGCCTTTGTCTGACTTCCCGTCAGTTTCACCCTGGAATGCCAGCCAAGGCAGCCTTACCTGGTGGTGTGTAATTCACGAACCCCCTCCACCCTCTTCAACGATATAATAATATATTATACCTCTGGTATAATGTGTTTGTCTTAGTTTCCTAGGGTTCCTTAATAAATACCACAGACCGAGTGACTTAAAACAAGGTGACTCTGTTTCTTCACAGCTTGGGACATCCAAGGTCAACGGGGCAGCGGATTGGCTTCTCCTGCAGCCTCTCTCTTGGCTTGAACATGGCCACCTGTTCCTGTCTGCCCACGGCCTTCCCTCTGTGCGTCAATCTCTTTGGCTAATAAGGACGCCGGTGCGTTCGATTAGACCCACCTTCGCAGTCAGTTTGAGTTTAATCACACTTTAACGGGCTGTCCTCAAACACAGTCACATTTTGAGGTAGTGGGGTTTGGGCTTCGACCTATGAATTTGGAAGAGTGGGGAAAAAACTCAGATCTGTGCTCAATACATAAGAAATAGAATGAACAAATGGAAACATTCTTTAATAGTAGAACTGGAGAAAAACGTGAACATTCACTTGGAATGGTTGTTAGATTCCAAAGTGAGCAGTGTGTGGTGGTACATGATGGAAATTCCGTTGTCGTCTGGGGCAAACTGGCTTTATTCTGTCCTTCCTTCCTGGGAGAAACTGAATGTCAACCTGTTTCTTGGCAGAATTTGGCAAGAGGCAAAACGAAGGGAGCTTTTCTCATCTCCAAGTTTACAAGGCAGAGCAGCGACCTGCCACGGCCAAGGCTGTACAGAGGGGAGTTGTGGCTGGAACAGGAGGAGAGCCAGTAGTCGCATTCCGGAGGTGGCCGATCGCACCTTGATGGCTCTGAGATGTGGGAAGAACTCTGCACGTCTGGTCAGCTGGTTCTCAGTGCCTGTGTCAGAAAAATGTGCTCACGCCTTGCCGGTGTGATTGTGCAACCTGTCACAACCTGCCACTTTTAAAAAAAATAAACTTTGTAATCAGACCATTGTTCCAAGAAACCTGAAAAGCTTGCCATGAATGATCATGCGTGGTTAAAAAAATTGATGTCAGAGAAATCTTATTAAAATATTGCCTTGAGTGTTTGAGACCATTCATTGCATGCCACAGGAAAGCAAGGGAAGGAAACCTTCAGTAAACTGCTCTTTCTGCACCTCCGTCAGTGAGTGCTGTGGGGAGCCCTCTGTAAAGAAGACAAGCAGGATTACCAAGGGCAGGGTGAAACTGCCCTGTGAACTTCCTGTGCTCCACCAGATAAACACCTGAGTCAGGCCTGGCCGGGGAAATAATGACATGCCTGGCTTAACAGTGGTGCACTTATGTGCATCTTCGCTTTAGATCCTCTAAGGCATTGAGGGGTCCTCCTGGCAGTGATGGAAGAGGAAGTTGAAATTCATGTAGCAGCTGGGAAGTTTTCACAGGTTGTTTACGATGGACAAGTGACATAGTCCTTGCTTATGGGCCAGAAATTGGGAGATGCATTAACTTTCAAGCAAATAATTCCTAGTGTAAGGAAAATTTACATGGAGAATGGGTCTCTTTCTCCTGAGTGGGGTGGGTGTCACCCGGGAAAAGTTGGGGTGGACAGTGTGTGCGCCTGTATGTGTACACGTGTGGGTAAGTGTGCATATGTGTGTGGAACAGGCACCGTAGCACCACTCTCGTGCCTGGCCTCCCCATTCTTCATGTGTGTATGTGTGTTGCATCCCTCATTCAGAGAAGAAAAGAAATCGAACGCTCTGAGTATCTTCAAATTAAGGTGCCACAGCCCCTGGGAGAAGACATCTCTGCCCAGAAAGCTCTCACCCTGGAATTTACATCCCCCCTAGTGTCTCTGTAAGTAAAATTGCGACATATTTCCTACTGAACTCCTTGACCTTCTTTCTGAACCACTTTTTCCTGGGGGCCTCCTGCTGGACACACAGCACCTTTTCAAGCAGAGGGGAAGAGCGATTTCTGCTGTGGGCAGGAGACCGTGCCGGACTGTGCTCTGCGGACAAAGTCTTCCGCCCTTTCTCAGGGCTATTGGGCCCTCACTTTGCTCTTTCTTTTCTCTGTGCCCTGTGGATGTAAAGTATGTCAGTGAGGTACTATCCACTGCTCTCAGCCCATGATTTTATTTGACCCTTACAATTTGGAGCTGAGGTTCAAGTTCTAGGTTCTCCGACTCGTACCGTAGACTCCTGAAATTCAGCCCCACTGGCCCTGCTTTCTTTTCCCTTCCTGTTTCTAATAAAGCCTGTCCACAATGATTGGTTGAAACCACTAACTCTAAAGCCACCCTCCTCTCCTGCAGCGGTACTCTTGGTCGTTTTAGGTGTTCTATAGTTGAAGTGTTTGGGGACAGAAAAACTCCATGTGTGTTTTTAAGACTACAGCCACATGGAGGTTGCTGAACAAAAGTTATGATACAATTCTAACTTAAGAAACCCTCCCTTTCACAGTCTGGAAGGAGTAGCGAGGGGACTGTTGCCTTCAGGAATTGCCACAGGCTAAGAGTTTATGCAAATAACCCCAGGAGAGGTGCTGAGAAAGCACATAATTATGGTTCCAACCCAGGCATTTTCAGTGATCAAATCTGTGGAATGTAATCTCTCCACGGCCTCCTTCAAACTCCTGAGTGATAAACAATCATCTGTGGTAATTACTAAAGAACAGATGTCTCTGCTCCTGTCCTGTCCTAGAGAAGCCACCAGGTAGGAGATTTGGAATCCCTGTATCTGGAAAAGGGAGCCATTTGGCCCAATCCCTTCTCCGTCCTGGCCCACACTTCTGTCTCTGAAATGAGAGCCTCCTGCCTCATGCAGCTCTGCTCCTGGCTGTTCCGAAGCCGCCTTCTGGGACGCACACTTCCAAGAAGGAGCAGAGGCTTTTTTTGTTTCTTCTGTTCCTCTCGCACCCAGTCCAATGTGATGCCACAAATATGGCCCGCTGTTTGGAATAATTTACAGAACCGAACAGTACAGACGAGCTCCAGCCTCCCAGTGTGTATTTTGAGTATTTTATCACAAGTGTCAAGATTTTATGCATTACAGTATGCTCATGATATTCTCCCTGCATTTTATTTTGGGCGCGATAAAATCTGCAGCAATTAGTTTCTCACAAGTCTGTTTTATGCGGCAGAATCTGTTATTTGCTCCATTTCTTCGGTCCTACCTTTGCCGTGCCTGCCTTCCTCCCACGCTGATGCACCCTCTCTGGCTTTGGCAGGCTTCTGTATTTTGGGGTATGCGCAGTCCTTAGAGAGTTATTTGGGAAGACGTCAAGTGCTAATTAGGAAGATGCTCTAGGTTGGTGAACCACAAACATGCTTTAAATGGAAAAGCGCGTATACCAACAGGAAACAGAGAATGTGTGCACCAGGGTGCTAAGATTGAGATTTCCCATTTCAATCTCGTCTGAGGAGCGCATTTGTTCTGTCACAGGAGCCAGCAGAAGAGTAGAAGTTGGAGGTGCGGTCCCCTCAGGAGGGGCACAGGTTGTCCCCGGGAAGAGCTCTGCTACAGCCGCACCATCCTGGCGATGGGACGCGTCGGGAAGTCACTGTGACCATTTGCAGAGGCAGTTGCTGCCTGCGATTTTATGTGCTGTAGCTTATACAGCTGGTGAAGAAGCAGGTCTGTGTACAGCACCTGCACGGGCGTGTGAGTAACCCACCGGGTCAGGACAGCAGGCGACCGCGGGGCGTGGTGCTGGGAAGCTTCCAGGTCCCTCATATCCGAGGGTCACCACCCGACCTGCCTATTGATGACCAGACGTCATCGGGGGGCCGTGTCGAGTTTCACAGAGGACGCTCCTACAGATGATGGCTCATTTTCTCACTAATTGCTAACCACTGCTCCTCTTCACCACTTTGAAAACATGGGTCCAGCTGTTCACAGAGACGCGAAGCCCATCCTAGTGGACCTCTCACCAAGAAAGAAACAAAATCTGTCCCTTGGAAATAAGAAAGAGCACGCAAAGATTAGGAGCGCTTAAGATAGACTAATATATGTGAAAACACTTCTCTCTTAAGAAAGCACACATTAATTATAGAGTTTTGGTGTTTTCCTTAAAACGTTCTCATTTCATCTTATTACACAAGACAGACAAGTAGTGAGCTCTGAAAAGAAAATTCATAATCTCCACAGCTGTTTTTCAAAATGCCACGGGTCATCCCTCTTGGAGGGCAACTTGTGGGTATGCTGCTGGAAGGCTTTGGTTTTCTGGAATTAGCAGAATGTTGGCATGTTGCGTGTAAATGTTAGGAAGTCGTAGGTTCCATATCAGAGGTTTCTTCCTACTTCTGAGCGTGCAGCTGCAGAGTGTCATGGGACTTTGGCCTTAGCCTGTGCTCTGGGCGAGGATCCGCTGGGGGATAACTTCAGGGAGTTCTCGTGTTTCTCCCGTCAGGCCCAGTGGTGGATTTCCATGATGCTTCTCAGCAGTTACACTCTTTACATTTTAAAGAAGTGGGCTTCCCTTTCCCTCCTCGGGTTAAGTCTGAACCCAGCAGTCACCTGTGTGGCATAACTTTATCACAGTCACCTTTCACTCGAGTGCCCACCTGTGAGATTTGTCTTCAGTGACACAGGAAGCCAGCAGCCGGGCATGGGGTGTGACTGTCGCTACCCCCATACAGACCTGAGAGACAGGACTTCCTCTCACCCCCAGTCCCTCCCTACAGGGCACAAGCTTGTCTATTTGTGACCAAATGGGAGCTGTCTAAGAACTCTCCCATGTGTGTTCCCATTAGGAGGAGATGCAGATTCATTTTAAATTCTTACCTGGTGTTATTGAAACTTAGCCCATAAAAAATTGCTACCCTAGTTATTTATAAACCAGAGCCCATGATTCTGTCAGTCCATTTGCATTTGTTCGCTCCTACTCATTTTACACTCAGAGGATTTTAATTGGCAAAAGCACAGCTCTTAGTGTACACAGGAACCCAGCCCTGGCAGTGCCCGAAGGAGTCCAGGCACTGTGAGCCGAGCTGATGCTAGACTGAGCCCTTTGTAAGGACAGCTGTGGGCTACTGTCCCTAGTATTGACTCCTTCCTCTGATGAGGCAAGTTGGCCCTTATAATATCATGATTGCTCTTTCCAAAAATATATTACGGAGGGTAACATGTTTGAGGTTCTTAAAGCTGTACCAATTGCAGTTATCGATCGTGCTGAAGTTGGATTGATGACCTTAATGGATACTTGTCTAATCAAAGATAGGAAACATTTCAAATCAGGTTCATTTAAAATATTGTAGCCAATCAATTGCTGTGAGTCCTCTCAGGATAATATTTAACGAAGCTGTTGAGGGTGCCTTACTGTTTTATGTGCCCTTATTGTGTTGACTTCAAGTATCTGTTTTGAGAATGTTATAAACACTCATATTCTAAGTTATAAATTGGGTTCTCATGTGACTAGAATACAGAGTCACATCCAAGGCTTGATTTACATTTTTGTAATTTTATGAAACACATTTCCTAACTATTTCCTAGGTGAAGGAGATTTCTGAATGCACTTGCTATTTTGTAACAGTGAGTTCGGGTTTGGGAGTTTTGGGGCTGCTGCTATTAAAGTGAATTCTTTTTTGATAGATACATGTTGTTTGAGAAAAGCGGATAGGGAAGACAGGCAGGTGGAGAGAGAGAGAGAGAGGGAGAGGGAGAGAGAGGGTATTATGCTGCTCACGCACTAGGGCACAAGTAGTTGAAAGGTGTGGTGCCCACCCCCAGGCTCCCTGGTGCGAGCCATTTTGCGTGCGAAATTCATGCCACTCCTCCAGCCAGGCTGAAGGAGGCTCTTGGGGTTTGATCTTTTTACTTTCACTCAGCATCACAGCATTAGAAATAGTAGATGTCAGATCTCTCTGTAACTGGGTCATGCTGGGAAGCGTCCCAGAGTCACTGGTATTCAAACTAACCTACCTGTGAGAAGGAGAGGCCAGTGGGGCAAGAGGGCAGGGCGGAAATTCTCCTTTGAGCAGATAAATATTGGAGAATGTTG